AAACTATTATAATACTCACGCCAAGTGAGTAGTTATGTTTTATTACTATTTAGAGTAGCGAACAGCTGCCCGCTTTTCATCTGCAACCAAGGAATTGACATATTTTTGTAAATTGTTGCATCCATTAATTTCCTAGCCACTTTGGTACCAATAGAGAACTCAAGAACGTTCACCAATCTTTCCCTTTATAAAACGGAACTGAACCTGGAACGCGAACTTTCGCATTTATTCATATTTCGCATTGCATGATTAAGTTACTACGTCTGCCGTTTCCCCCTCTAGACCCTCCCCGGCAGTCGGCTGCCGGAAGCATTTACTCCATCGAGACCTCGTCTCTGTCTCACCAGTCCACACAGTCTTATGCTTCTACCTCCTCCGCAGCGCCACAGATTCGCGTTGAATGGTATCGCAGCATAATCAAGCTGTTGATGGAGGATATGCTGAAGTATGCTCCGGACTTCCCTTTGCAACTGCGCTGGATCTATGCGGAAATACAGGTAGGCCTTTGTATTTTGCAAGATCATGAACAGTCATACCGCTTAATTATGCTACACCTGCTGCTGTCATAAGTTCTTCTGGGAGTAGTGGTGGTGGTTGTTGAAAGTGTTACGCGGATTTAGAGGCCGGTGAATCTTATCGATGAAGATAAGGGAGACTGGAATGACCATTTCTATCTTATTAGCCGTCATCAGCCAGCTATACCCAATCCTAGGTTGTGCACCATCCGATGATCGAGCCCGCGGCTTTTGGTTAGAAGTCAAACGCTCTACCCATTAGGCCACAAGCTCGTTTTTTATGCCGATTTCAGTCAGGCCTATTCACATTTGTGGATTTTTGCTCACTGACCGATTAGGAGATGCACTTTTCACGCCCCGCCAGTAGTCGCACGATGACTAGTATTTCCGGCAAAAACAATTAGCACTGGAATGACAGTATTTGGTTCATTAGCCGTCTTCAACCAGTCATACCCAATCCCAAGTGGTGCAGCACCCGAAGCTTAGTCCCGCAACCTAATGCTTAAAAGTGCTTTACTAACCATTGAACCACGGGCTGATTGTGCTATGGCTGCGTTTAGCGTGGGTCGCTTTTATTAGTCGTTTTGATTTGACTACTACCTGAGACATTCGATTAGCACGAATTACTTAAGTATCGTGGTAATATTGATTACCTCACAGCCTTGTTTCATGATAGTTCACTCACGACAGGATGGCGGATTTTGAACGAGCTTCTTTATGACCACTTGCAAAAAGTATATTCCGTACAAAATGACTACTTTATTAGTATGCATTGTTTTCATCGATTTTCACTACCCTTATGAATTCAAATAGTTTTTTATAGAAAAAATGCACAAAATACTCCTTCGTGTGCTCATTTGATGACAAATTACGCTTTCTTTATATTTTATACTTGACGAATGGGCTTCTTTAGATTCAGAAATTTTTTATTATGAGATTCCTTGCTACAAAGAAGAAAAAACGTGATCATTAGGACAGCACTTGTATTAGTCTATGCTTTATGACTCGTACAGGTGACCATCGTCAGAACCAATGAGAGTACAGCAAGAATCGGCGTGTTTTGTAGTCACCCCGTCGCCTCAGTCTGCGTCCTTGGACAGGAATTGTGTTGCGTTTCTAGGTCGTGCGAATGGAGGGCATGAGACTGTTGTTAAATATTTATCAATAATACATCGCTTTCGTCAGTTCGCCTATAGAGTGTACAAGATAATCCACGCATATCTGCTACTGCTGCCTGCTTATGTCTGTGATGATGACTCCGCGACGGATCTCGAAACGTCAGGCGAATGAAAGTATCGTCCCAGCGATCGAGTCGTCTTCTTCTCAGTAATCCACTGTCATTCCAAATTGTACAAGAACTATTTAGCGTATATGTAGAAGGACGCTCGCAGATGAGGTCGTGGAAACTGCTCTTCCTTCAGGCAGTCGCCTAGCGGCAAACAGTCTCCGCAGAATATCATTACTGACCAAGGCAATGGACTGACAAGACAACAGCCCCGTGGCTCACTGTTGAGGACTTTGAACTTTAAAATATATACTCTTGTGATAACAAAGCTGCCCTAGACTCTTGACTCTTCTCCGTATTGCCTATTTTGCCTGTCTTTCAGCAATGCCCACTCCTCCAGTCGACCAACACCGTCCTCTGCAATCTCGTCTTCCTCCGGGGGCTCTGTCCGTCACTGTCAATGCGGTCGGATGGATCACTGGCTCAGGACACTCGAGTAAGTGGGTGCCCCTACGCGTGGCTATAAACTACCCAAAGCGGCGTATCGTCTTCTTTAGACTTTTAAAATTGACCCACATCAAATAACTACTTGAGTAGTAACTTTCTTTCTAAAGTTTTTTTTACTGAAAGAGACCTGCATATTTGTTTTATGAACATGCCGTAGTACGCTCACACAATAATTAGTAGAGTTTGTCATCTCAAAGCCCATCACTTTTGACTGTTTTACCCATTCTGATGCCGTACTCGGAAGTATGTAGGAATGTCCCGAACGTGTTAGAAATCTTACGATATCGGGGAACAACCACGGGTGGGTGCATGCATAGTGCCGGG